GATATGGAAGAAGGAGGTATATACAAATGGAGAAGTGTGGAAAGAGAATAAAGAGTTTATAGAGAGGATCCCAGATCTTGGGAAGACATCACATGATCAAGCCGGCACTTGCTCTGCTAAAAAGAAAGTGGAGGCACATGAGAGAAAGAGTTGCTGTGGGACAAAGGTTAAAGTCAATGATGAAACTTCAGATTCTTGTAGCTAGTTCTGAAGCACATGTTGTATTTCGTTCAAACACCGTCACTTCTCAATGAAACCGGAAAAAAAGAAATGGTAATTCATTCTTCTTCCAATTTCCTTTTCCTCTCTTGCTCTCATGTGACAGGTTTTTGTTATGTGTGTAATACCAACTATGAAATGCTCAGATCATAACATAAGGCAGTTTACATACTACAATGTGCTTTCATTTAACTCGACAAATATTAATGCTTGCTTATGCCTCTACCTCCACAAATTTGCTCATTTGTAGCTTAATCATTCTCAATATTGTCTTTCAAAATCAGTTCTCCCAAGATCTTCTCTATTTTTCATGACACAATAACATGCCATACTGCAGGACAACTTTAGATAATCTGTCATCATTGCTGTCATTTTGGTGGTGTAAAAATCATTTTCAGTCTTCTTTTCCACAAAAGTTATTGTATGTGTTTATAGCCAAATCATTCATAATGTCCTCAAATCAGTAGGGGGGGGGGGGGGGATAAGATCCTTGCCAAATCGAAGTTATTCATTTCATTCGCTACTAGAGCCTCTACTATTACTATGCAAGACGAAAAGAGGATTTGCCAATCAATCAATTCAAACTAATGTGTAGGAACCTGACCTCATTGAACTGAATGTGCATCCTTCCCGCATTTGAAGACGGACTAATGTTGTGCAGCCAAATCATTCGTAATGTCCTCCAAATCAGTTTCTCGAGTTTTTTCCCCTTTTTTTCCCCAGTTAACAACATGATGCTAGAGTGAACAGCAATTATAGATCATCTGTCTTCGGATATAACTTTCATTTTGTGGTGTAAAAGTAATCTTGTGTCTTTCTTAGTATGTACATATTGCTAAATCATTCTCAATGTCCTCTATATCAGTTTCCACTTATGTTATTGACAAATCATTCTCTATGTTCTCTAATTTTAGTTGTCGAGTTTTCTCCCCCATCTTCCATGACACAACAATAGCAGTTCATCGAGAAATTCATATATTAAGCTCAAATGATAAAAGTCTTGGATAATAATCTACAACGCACTAGAACGCCCTTGTTGACATCCTTTACTCCGACAGCATCTGGGGTTCCTTGAACAATGTGATATCTCATCCCAGGTAAATCCTTAACCCTTTCCCCTCTTACTAAGACTATAGAATGTTCTTGTCCAATTTATTTGCTTTTAGAAGGCTTATGTATAGAGCCAAGCCATTGTTAACAGTATGATATTTTAGTTAATAATATGACGAGGAAAAGAAAAGCTTCTACCATATAACTTTACACTTAATATAGTTTAAGATACTTCTATTATATGAGCTAAAAACCAAGGGAGTGAATTTGTACAAATTGTGCATCTAATGTGGATTGTGGATATGCAATGTAACTGTATTGTGCCCCTTTGCTTTCTTGCGAAATCAATGAAATATTAGTCGTGTTTCTCAAACTTAGATTTTAATGTCAATCTCCTCTTTAACATGAGGAAACGTAATTATAGGAAAATTATATTGTTCAGATAAATCTTTTTCTTTTTCTTTTTTTATTACGGTATTCTCAGATTTGTTGTTCATTCAAAGGGGCAGCTCGATAAAGAAAGTATTCCGCCGCATGTACGCAGGGTTGGGGAAGGGCCACAAACTTCAGGGTGTGACGTACACAACTTACCCTAATTAAGGCAAATGCCTTATCATGTAGTAGCAGCAGGTTCAAGCTAGATCTGTTTGGCTTCTCAATGTATCTTTAGGAAACATAATGAAGTTACTGTTTCGCAAAGCTTCAAAGTACATGATTGTATGAATAACGTACAAGACGTAGAAGGCAGCCCCAGCTTGGCGAATCTCATCCCCGCTTAACGAATTGGATTGCCTACCTCCTATCATTTTCCGTTTCATGTTTAGAATACGTTTGACTGCTTTTTGTTTTATCATAATGGCACCACGTGTAAAGAGCTTAATATATAATTTGCTGTTCGAGGCTACTGCATATGTCCGTGGAAGAGAATAAAGAGCTTTCGGTATTCGATATTTGATATTTTGGTATTCGGTATGTATATATATCTAGGGCCGTGCATAATTTGGTAAATACTGAATTACCGTATCGAAATCGAAAATTTTGGTATTCGGTATTCGATATTTTGGTATTTGGTATGGTATTTGGTTTAAGTTTTAAAAAAGAATTGGTATTAAGTATGGTATTTGATATTTTAAAATAAAATATCGAAATACTGATACCGTACCGAAATATATATTATATTACACAATACGCATTTTATTAATTATAACATAAATATAAGAAATCTAAAATTTTACTTTCCTTTATTCTCTAAGTTCATCAATTAACTCTAAGCAAGTAACAAGATATTTCTCTAAGTTTTCTCTATCTAGGTTGGTATTTGATGGTTTTGGACAAAACTTCTATCAACAAACGTTTTTAGTTTTGTATTTTTGAATACTTTAATTAAGAATACTACCGTCTATGATTCTATGCACTAGTTAGTATTCAAACCGAATAAACCAAAGTTACCGAACAGAATAAACCGAAACCGAAATAAGAAAAACCGAACATTTAATTAGGTACAATATTGGTATAGCATTTTACGGAACCTAATACCGAAAATATCGAACCGAAATATCTAAATACCATACCATACCGACCGACGAACACCCCTATGTATATCTGGCTACGTAAGTATTGTCAAAGACAGATCAAAGTGTTATCGGTAAAGTTGTTCTAAATATGTCGACTTCATCATCAAGGCTAGCATCAATAGTTATTTCCAAGAAAATTATCAAACCCTCCATTCCAACCCCATCTACTCAAAGATGGCACAAACTTTCCCTTCTTGATCAAGGCATCTGTAACAACTTGTTTGGATTGTTGTTACATGTCGTTTCATAATATATCGTATTGTATTGTACTGTATTATACCATATTGTTTGATGAATACAACGTTTGGATAGATTGTGTCATTTGCCGTCGTTTCATGATGTCACACACCAACAATATGAAGAGTAAATTTGTAACATTACTAAGAAAAAATAGAATACATAGTAGAATTATTACATAAAAAAATAGGATAAAAGATAAAATATGATTATTTAATAATAAGGGAGGGCAAGATGAGAGAAAAAGGCAAGGTAACGACGCCACCACACTAAATCCGTCGTTTCACAAAGTGACACTTTTCGTCGTTATGTAACGACGAATTTAACGATCCAATAAAACAAAATTTAAGTAACAATTAAAATAAGCATTGTATTTAAAGTAATAATACGATACAATACTGTAAAAGGTGACCTTATTTTTAGGCTTTTTATTTGTGAGCCTTGTTGGCACATTTGGAGCCTTTTATTTAAGGCCTTGTTGGCCAAATAAATAACCTTGTATTTTGAGAGGATGTGGCCAATTGTTGGCCAAGCATTTCTTTCTTCTCTTCCTATATAATGAGGACTCTCTACTCATTTGGAAACACACCAACAAGACTTGAGTATTCATTTCTTGTTTCTTCCTTTCTTCCTTTATTAAGAGTGTTTTGTATGAGAGTTAGTGTTGGGAAGCACTTGTGTGAACCCTTTCTTTTGAGTGATCTTGTGAGGTTATTCCCTTAGGGTATTTGGGATTAATTAGAGTATTTACTCTAATTTTGTACTCTCTTTTGTACTCTTATTGCTATAGTGAAATTGCCCCTCTCCGCTTGTTGACGTAGGTCACTTTGACCAAACCACGTTAAATTTGTGTCTTCTTTATCTACTTTAATTGTCGTTGTTATCAACTTCCATTGTCTTTGTTATTGCCATTATACCGTTGTTTGGCTATATTCCGCACTACCCGGGTTCCCGATCCTAACAAATTGGTATCAGAACCGGATCTAACCGGGTTAGTTTCAATAGCCAAAATGACTCTAACAAAGACCTATGTTGAGAAATTTGATCGAAGTGCAAACTTCGAAATGTGGCAATTAAAGATGAAAGCTATCCTAATTCAGGATGGCATAGACTTGACTTTACAAGGAAAGGAGAAGAAGCCGGATAAAATGACGTATGAGGAGTTTGCAGTCATAGATAAAAGGGCAAAAGTAGGTATTATTTTAAATCTCTCAAATGAGGTTTTACGTGAAATTTCTGTAGAAACCACAGCCAAAGGCATGTGGGAAAAATTGAAAACCTTATATATGAAGAATATGGTGAAAAATAGACTTTACGTGAAGCAGAAGCTTTATACAATTCGTATGGGTGAAGGTACTTCTATTTTCTCTCATCTTGACACCTTTGATTCCATTCTTATGGATTTGAGTAATATAGATGCTGAAATTAAAGATGAGGATCAAGCCGTGTTACTGCTTTGTTCTCTACCCCCATCTTTTAAGCATATAAGAGATACTATGCTTTATGCAAAGGATAATATCTCTTATAAGGATATTAAATCTATCTTAAAATCTAAAGAACAGATAGATAATGATATTACTGGGGAAGCTAGTGGAACTCAAGTGGAAGTTGGCTTGTTTGTTAGGGGTAAATCCGACTCCATATCTAGATACAATAATTTACAGCGTCGCTATTGTCATAAGAAAGGTCACAATATCTCTGAATGTTATAAACTGAAAAATAAAGAAAAGCATAAAGAAAGAAAAAATGAGCACAAAAATACTGACACCGCCGAAGCTAGTGTAGCAACTGATGAGATTGAGAGAACTATATTTTTAGCAACTGAAACTAGTTTCAGATTAGACAATGAGTGGATTTTAAATTCCGGTTGTTCATATCATATGTGTCCTAGCAGGGACTTATTTTTTACATATGATTCAGTTGCAGGTGGAGTTGTCCAACTGGGTAACAATGTTACTTGCAACGTTATTGGCAAAGGTACAATTCGGTTCAGAATACATGATGATGTGGTGAGAACTCTCACCAATGTTAGATATGTTCCTGAGTTGAAGAAAAATCTCATATCTTTGGACACTTTAGAATCCCTTGGGTGTAAATTCACTAGTGAAGGTGGAGTTTTAAAAGTTTTTGAAGATGCTATTGTAGTCATGAAAGCACACAGATCTGGTTCGTTGTATACTTTATTGGGCTCCACTGTTATAGGCCCTACTGCAGTTTCGGTATCAGACAACTTGTCTGATTTTGATGGCATTAAATTTTGACATATGCCCATTAGGGCTTTTGCGGAGAAGGTGAAGCAAATTTACTATATCAGCCAAAATTAGGCGTGGAGATTTCTAAAAGGTGGCCTTATTTTTAGGCTTTTTATTTGTGAGCCTTGTTGGCACATTTGGAGCCTTTTATTTAAGGCCTTGTTGGCCAAATAAATGGCCTNTATTTTGAGAGGATGTGACCAATTGTTGGCCAAGCATTTCTTTCTTCTCTTCCTATATAATGAGGACTCTCTACTCATTTGGAAACACACCAACAAGACTTGAGTATTCATTTCTTGTTTCTTCCTTTCTTCCTTTATTAAGAGTGTTTTGTATGAGAGTTTGTGTTGGGAAGCGCTTGTGTGAACCCTTTCTTTGGAGTGATCTTGTGAGATTATTCCCTTAGGGTATTTGGGATTAATTAGAGTATTTACTCTAATTTTGTACTCTCTTTTGTACTCTTATTGTTATAGTGAAATTGCCCCTCTCCGCTTGTGGACGTAGGTCACTTTGACCGAACCACGTTAAATTTGTGTCTTCTTTATCTACTTTAATTGTCGTTGTTATCAACTTTCATTGTCTTTGTTATTGCCATTATACCGTTGTTTGGCTATATTCCGCACTACTCGGGTTTCCGATCCTAACAAATACAATAGATAACAATTACCCAAACAAGCTGTAACGTCTATATGCCCTTTGTGTTTTTCTACTCCAAACAGCTACTAGAAACCATATTCCCAGACCGACCTAAACAACGATCCCATTGTTTAACTTGTTACTATCCATGGGCTGGATGTCTAAAAGGTAACGGTACTATTGAGTGTGATGATAAGGGGACAGAGTTGTTGGAAGTTCAAATTGACTCTCCAATGGACAGTGTTGGGCAATGTTGTATATCCTGGAGTAATAATCAAGGTGATTGATGGTCGCTCAACTCAGCCGTTTTTAATGCGGAGGAATAGCACTTACTGTCTGTTTGTCACACACAGTGGGAGATGCATGCAGTGCTTACTATTTTTTGAGAGATTGGTCTTATAACAACATGATAGGGGTCCAAGAATTACTAAAGAAAATCAAGAAACGTGCGGAAGCTAAAAGAAAATAAAGAAACAAAAAAAAAATGAAAAATTAAAGATAGATTGAATTCAAGAAAGAGTTTCTTGAACAAGAAGTCTATTCTTGAAGTTGAATCCTAACAACAACAATTAGCTAACAAGAACAAGAGATAGATTTTGAAACCGAACCCTTTAGAATAACAAGAACAACAATAAACCTAAACTTATCACCTTTCTTGAATACCTAGAAGTGATCTAAGATTTCGAAATAGTTTAATTTTACCACCTTAAGTTGAGTCTTGAAGGTTGAAGAATAAATCCAAGAGTAGCCACACACAAGAGTGCAAGAAAAATCTCACAATTTTTATTGATATTGTCTATAATAATCTAAAAGCTAAAAACAAAGATGACACCCCTTTATATAGAGAGGGNTGATCTAAGATTTCGAAAGAGTTTAATCTTACCACCTTAAGTTGAGTCTTGAAGGTTGAAGAATAAATCCAAGAGTAGCCACACACAAGAGTGCAAGAAAAATCTCACAATTTTTATTGATATTGTCTATAATAATCTAAAAGCTAAAAACAAAGATGACACCCCTTTATATAGAGAGGGGGTCACGAAATTCCTACCTAAAAACAAGGAAATAAAGTCCTAAACTACTTTGGACAACAAGTCCAAATACCTTAGGAAAAGGAAAAACACTAGGAAACAAAAACCAAGTCAATCTTGGAAAGTAACTCCAACAATCTTAGGAAAAGGAAAAACATAACCTTAATTACCTAGGAAAGCAATAAATCTAGTATCAAAATATATGGAAATAAGTTAAAACCAATCTTGGATAGAATCTTGAAAGTCCCAAACCAATAATGAATAGGATCTTGAAAATCTTGAAGGCAACTTGCAAGAAACTTGGCACCAACTTGTACCCAACTTCTATCACGCCTATTGAGCCTTTCTTGGGTAGAAAGTAAGTCTTTTTTATGTTATAAAAACGTGGCTTCATGTAGGACTTATTGGGCTGCAAGTTTGGACACATTTTTAGGTTCCAAATAGGTCCAATAGTGGCCTGATCTGGACCTTTGTTCGGAGGATGTCTTTTGGGATCTTATCCACCTTTTCTTGGACATAAATTTGGACCATAAAATAATTATAATACCTAGACAACTTATATCCTTTATCCTTGAGCTCTCCATCCTAATTAACAACTTCTTTATTTGCACTTGAAGTTTAATGACCTTGTTTTGCAACTCTTTAGCTTGACATCTTGTTAAAGGCTCTATTTGAGATTCCAAAGCTTTATTCTTGTCCTTGAATAGATTTGAGCTTCCTAGGATGCTATCATGGTCTGCACCAACTTGAAATCAAAATGCAAAAATATCTCCACTCTCTTCCTTTGGTTTTATGCTTACTTTTATCAGTAAATTAGTTTTGATTTATAAGATTATTACAAGTGTTTTTATTATTTAGCTAAATGTAGAGTAGTTCGATTCAGAAATTTTGGTGCACCCATTCATCGAAAAAGTTTTTACTGACTTCTTTAAAGTTTGAATACCCTTGGCGAGATTCCTGGCTAAGCTACTGATTGCAGTGCCATCTTAGTTGGTCCTACTACGAAATGTAATTTCACCACCACTACCACCTAGCTCCATTGGGAATATGGTCACAACCTTTCCCACACCAATACATTAACAACGAAGGAGATCTTAGGTTGCCAAAGTTAGTAGCTGGTTTAAGGAAAGTCCAAACAAAATCTCTACAGCAGAGACTCTCAAAGAAAGTGAGCGAGTTTTGGAGATTCTAAATGCATAAAGTACAAGAGATGAGCAGCCCTTTCACCAAAGGAATTGTGATTAATACTCTAGTAGCATGTGTAACTTACCATTCCAAGATTTAGATTTTGGATGGGGGAAGCCTAGTAGAGTAAGCCTTGCAAGTGCTCCATACGGCAAGCTGTTTGTGTCAATGAGTGCAGCACCTGATGGTGGAATGCAAGTGCTTGTCAACCTGCAAAATAAAGAATACATGTCCATTTTTGAGCAAGGCAACAACCTTCTCCGATTTCCTAACCCTGCTCATGTTCAGGACCTCCTTTTTTTTTAATTAAGAGAAATTAATGGAGGCTCTCAACAATACTTGATGCAAGTGATGAACAAATAATTCTGGAGAAGGAGCTTATACACTTTTGATGTTCAATATATTCTTTGATGTCAGCGAACCACTGTTGCCGACCCAAAGTTTCTGTTAGGTTGCAATATATACCGGGTAGCTTCTGTGTGCTATCATGATTAGGCGGACTTTTCGTCAAGAATATTTATCGTGGAGTTTAAAGAGGCTACCCGCTTATAAAAGTGGATATTTTACACACAGAAAGACCAAAGAATAAAAGTGGTATTATTGAAACCAAGCAATAAAATTCAATATCCACAGAACTATACATGTTAAAAGGGCACATGACTTTACTAGTAAGTAATCATATAAAAGTAGTATGAATTTTTCAGGTTTCAAAACAGAGAGATCAGATAGCTGACATGATCTCACACATTCACAATCTTACTTCCAGAGAAGATCTCTTGCAGGGGGGAAGGAGGGCAACAGCACCTCTATTTGGACTTGAAAACTTCCTATAAACTGCACCCAGCTTGTTTTCAGCAGCACCTGAGTGGAACCTAACTAATTCCATTGCACATTCCCTGTTTCAAACAATACAAACCCAATTAGTGCTTAAATCTGTAGGGAGTTACCAATCCCGAATGGGAATTGTTTAAACTATTTTCTTACATCAGCTGGTCCTCTGAGTAGCCGGTGTGGTGCTTCAGTGTGTCGGTCCATCTAGGACTCTTGTTGAGAGTAGCACGAGCAACATAAACAGCAGAAGCAGCAAGCTTTGACGGGCAGTAAGATATCACGGTCTTGTAGTTCATCAGCCCGAGCTCAGCCAAGAAAAATGTCATATTCTCCATCTTTTAAACAAAAAAGGAAAACACTTATATCAGCTAAACCGGGCTGTCTTTATTTGCTTAAGTAGCACAATTCACATTGAGAATAGATCAATACCTCCTTCTGATCAGATGGAAATGAAGCTTTAATGTATCGAACCAGAAAGACGTATGCTGTTGGAACAGTTAAATACCACTCCAGCTTTTCCAAGATTGCTTTCTCCATTACAAGTATCTGGTCCCTGATATAACCATTGTCTGTTATTGTTAGGAAGTCATTAACCTGCAGGTACATAAATAGCATAGAATCCGAGATTATGATAAATTTGAATGAACATATTAATCACATTTTCAGAATATACTTCATATTATACCTCAGGAGGCCAAATCTCTTCATATTTGCAGGCAATAAGCATTGAGCTGATGCAAAGTAACTGAAGTTCCCTTCTAAAGACAGTCTCCTTTGAAAAGAAACGGTCCATTATGTTAACTGTGAGGTATAGGCTTTCAGGACTCAGCTCAAACCTTTTGTGTGCTTCTATCAGCCAATCCACAACAACTGCTCTCACACTGAAATTGATCTCTGGTTGTAAATCCATGTAATCACATGGTCGCCCCTCGTCCTGAATCAGCCAAATCGTCAAAATAACAGGATATATTTCACGTATGATTAGTGAATTTTATCCATTACAACAATAAAGTCACAAAACTAATTTTCAAATTAAAGTAACTGAATTTTACCCACTATAATGGTAAAGTCACACGAACGTTAACATAAAGACAGATGATATTCACCATACCTCTGTAAGCTTGTAAAATTTGTAAATATCGTCAACATATTCCACAACAGCCAAGTGATTATCAACATCAGCAGCATCAATATCAACAATCTGTATCTTTGGTTTGGTGGGGAGTCCACATGCAGCCTGAAAGATAAAAATTGGTCAATTTTACTGTATACAGATCTTGCTTAGTACATTTTTTCAGCTAAGGGAAGAAGAGGTAAAAGAACAACCTTGCTTCTTGAAGTTAGAACAGAAGTTAGAGTCTTTCCACTCTTCTTTACTTTTCTTCTATTCAAGGGGATGTCCTCTTCAATGGTTTTCACATCCTCATCACGGCGTTTAACAGTAAATATTTCAGCTTTTGCTTTGACAGAAACCTTTTTAGACGCTTCTGCTTTTGTCGGAACACCAGCTTTCGTTGCTGGAACTCCTTTGGTAACTTCTACTGGAGGCTTCTTCTACAAACAAACCAAGACGATAATAAACCATCTAAGCGCTATCCTTCAAAACTTTTACAAGAACTATTATCCGCACTATAATGATGTAAACTACCTTATTCTTCTCCACTGGTGCTTGTCCCTTAACTATTAAGTCTGCAGCAAACCTCCTGAATAGTGAATGTTTTCATTTACGTTACACGGCCTTATACAAGAGAAAACCAACAACAAGACACAATAACTACGCCTCAATCTCAAACGAATTGGGTCGGCTATAAAAGAAGAAACCAAAATGCATAAAATTCTTAGTTCTACCTCGTGATGGGGCGAGAAATCTTAGTTTGAGGCTTTGCTCCAACAGCAGGAACAGTGACAAGGTTCCCAATATCTCCCAAAGCACGCCTATTTCTTCCATCTGCTTGTACATTCTTCTTCTTACATTCTCCCTCTCCAACTACTAAATATCTCAAACTCACATATTAGTAAAGATTATAAACTCACTAATAATATGCAACTCAAGGAAACTAAACCTTGACCAAGATAATGAGTTCTTTGGCCCAAAAGCAAATTCTGGGAACAAGAAAATAAAACGAAGATTTACATGTATCATAAATAAAAGGACAGTCAGTTTTCACAATTCTTAAAATTTCGTTACCAGTGATCATTTAAACAATTACTACTCATATCAATAGGTACCAAACTAAAAACGCGCAAGAAATATTGATACTCATAATTATGATCAATCAACACGTCAAAATTTTGTGTGAACAGTGAAATATTCAAAAATGACTATTTGCAATAACAAAAAACAAATAAAATTTTTCATTACGAATCCCAGAAAAAGAAACAACAAGAACAACAACAGACAATTAATTGGAAATATAGATTTCACATGAAAAAAAAATTGACAATAAAGAAACCTCATGCAAGAAAAATACCCAATGGAGCATGCATCAATAGAAGAAAGGGGATGACGAAAAAGACTATTTTCACTCACCTTTGGGTAAAGTTTTTGGAACTGCGTCTCTGTTAGCCATTTCAATGTCTTTCTTCAATTCTTGATTCTTTTTTAGTTTTCTTGCTTATCTATTTCTAATAATCTTTTTTGCTCTACGAATTTTGGGTTTTTTCACAGATTGTGAATGCAAAGAGAGGGGTTAATTGAGGTGATTCGTCTGAGTTTTATAGTAGCTTAACATGCCGCTTACTTTAACGGTCTTATTTTCATTTTTTTTTACCTCTGAAATGAGGAGCGTTGGATGGGATCTGATCGGGCGGTTCCTGAACGTTGGATTCTTGTCGAGCGCCATTTCCCGTTTCTCCTTCGGTGCATGCAAGTTATTTGATAAATAAACTTCGGTATTTAAATGAGAATACCGATAATTTCTCTTTTTTTTTTGAACTGTCCAAAATTTTATTTAACAAGTATAAGTATTTACAACCGCTAGCTCAATTGGACTCTAGAGTTACACCCTATCTAATATAATGTCTTTAATCCTCTAAGTGCAGACAGTCATCTTTCCTTGAAATCTCTTGTGGTTTTCTCTGTCCAGGTGAAATAAAAACACTAGCATATCACCTCTTATTTTGCTGGTAGCCCTCCTTGTTATTTATACAATCTCCTCATCCCAACTTCCAATCTGGTGTCTTAATTTCTCGTTAAAACAAATTTTCAATCAAATGTATGATTCATCTCTTTGGCAAAATAAAGTGCTTCAAATAATCAAAATTCAAAATATATTTAGATTAGAATTTATTATCACCGTAAGAAAATAACATTTATCTGATGTTCCACCATTCAATACCATTATCTTCACTATATAATTTGCTGAGAACTTTAGTAGCAATTTCTAACTATAAAAGAAAATTCACTTCCAAAATACTCTTTTTTTGAATTCAATCAGTTTTTTTTCTTTCCAAACTTCAATAAAAAGTTTTTTTTTTTTATAAAAAAGAAGCACAGTACAATAAGTTACTAGGAAAGGAACACAAAATTTCCAAGTCCTAATAATACCAATTTGGATTATTTTTTTATCAAAATAAAAAGCACAGATACGTCAAAAGTGGAGATGCAGGGGATCGAACCCTGTACCTCTCGCATGCAAAGCGAGCGCTCTACCATTTGAGCTACATCCCCAACTGGGACATGTATATTAGCCATTCATTTGAAGTCATCACCAAAACTTTTCCCACCCTTTTGCTGTGGCGAAACTTCGTTTGCAAATTTATTTCAACGTTGCTCGTGTATATATATATATATATATATATATATATATATATATATATATATATATATATATATATATATATTAGCTTTAGTGTTTGTTACACGTATTTCTAGCGTCAATCAGTAAAATATATACAAAAAGAATATGTAAATTAGGTTATCAAATACTAAATTTTAAAATGTCTACATTAAGTTAATATAATAAAATAAATAACTAAGTATATAAAAAAAGGAATTGTCATTTGTTTAAATGAATATCAAAATAAATTAAAATAATTAATGTCAACTCATGTAAAATATTTTTTGTCTTCCAATATTTCATCCTTATAATTTAACATTTGTACTTTTACAATTTGATTCTTAATACTATATTATAACTGATTATATGATGAATGTCGAAAAGAACGACTTGATTTTTTTGCAAATTAGTTAATTTACAGATTTCCTTTGGTTAATTAATTTAAGAGCTTAATTTTTTGTTCTTCACGTTAAAGAGAATAATTTATTTTTGTTGATTCAATTCTTAATATTAGCTCATCCCAAGTTTTAAATATTTAAATATAATTATAATTTTTATCCAATAAGAATTTTATGTTAAGAGTAATAAGAAAATCTCTATGACATATCACTTATGAATTTTTATGTTAGTATAACCATTAGTGTTACTGAATCTTACCAACACTTCTCTTTCTTTTATATTCTTAAAATTAAAATATTTTCTTAGTTAAGCTTGATACTCGAATTTAAAAAAAATAGAATTAATAAACTTTTGAGATTACTATGTTTGTTATTGCTAGATATTTGTTTTTACTCCCATGCATGAATTATTAACAAAAAATTTAGTTAATATAAAAATTTTAAATATAAGAAAAATAATTGAATGACTATTCTGTTATTTAAAAGAAATACATGTAAACCTTGAAACAAGACTCCTAAACCTGGAAAAAAATAAGTGAAAAGGAAAGTAAGGACTACTAAAATTTTATAACAAAAGATACTCGTAAGCCTAATATTAAAAAAAGATACTTCTGAAGTGATTGAAATTTAATACCCTAAATCTAAATGTAGTTTATATGAAGGACTCCAATTAAATAACATAATTTTCCAGATCAAAGTCCTAGGTATTAGAAAAATAATTATGTGACTGTTCTTAAATATTATGAAAATAATTAAATCACTATTCCTACAATTTAGCAAAGTAGCTTAAATTACTATTTTTTCAAATGTGAAAGCTAGTTAAGATTTTACCTTCTTTGTTTTTGGTAGGAAAGATTTTACCTTATAAACTAATAATAAAAATTAAATACTAAGGGCTCTTAAAATCTTTTTAACATTATTCTTTTATTAATGAAGAAAGTTGACAAAGGTAAATATACATAAAAGAAAGTTTTTTTTATAGATTTATTTTTGTGACTCAAGTAAAATTATCATTGTTTTTGCATGTTTATATTAGGAAAAGGAGACTCAAATTCAAATGCATAGGACGACATAAGAATAATTGATATTTAGTATGTAAAGTTCATATATTTATTGTTCATTATTGTGTTATTTTTTTAATTAATAGATTTATATATAATATAATATAGTAAAAATAACTAAATTAGTAACAAAATAAATAGAGGAAACAAACAAAAACTCGGGAAGAAAGTAATTTTTCTCGCAACATTCAGTGTTCATTAAAGTCTCCAAAAAATAGTACAAATTAAATAAGTTATATTATTAGTTCAAATTAGGAAGGATACAACAACAACAACAACAACAACAACCCAGTAAAATCCTACTAATGGGGTCTGGGGAGGGTAGTGAGTATGCAGACCCTACCCCTACCCCGAAGGAGTAGAGATGCTGTTTTCGAAAGACCCTCGGCTAAAAAAAAAATAAAAAGATAAAAGGACAAAAAGGAGACAATATTAGTATCACAACAACAAAATTATGAAGGATATAATTAGTTCAAATTAGGAAGGATATAATACACAAAATCTAATTGATTGCGAAACATAGATATTTGAAAATAATTAATGTATATTCCTAAATATTAGATAAATAATTCAAATGACTTTTTTGCCTTGTACGAAAATAACATTTTAAGAATAAAAAAAAACGAACGATATTTCGATAACACCTTTCGTGCCTGTGCCTGTAATATAAGTATGATATAGCTAGCTTAGAGGTAAAGAACCGATGAGAAAGGGTTATTAATCTTGAAATGTCGAGTGCATCAAGAATGCCATAAGCAATTTCCAAGAAAATCATCAAACCCTTCTCTCCTACCCCATCTACTAAAAAATGGCACAAACTTTCCCTTCTTGATAAAGGCCTGATCACTATCATTTACATGCCCCTTGTGTTTCTCTACCCCATAAATATCATCCGAAATGGACCTAAACAGCTATCAAATATTCCAGCAAACTTTTTGTCAAAAACATTAACGTATTACTATCTGTATACGGTTAAAACTGAGTCTGCCCTTCGTATGACTAATCGAGATTGGAACATGATGGTCCAATGTTCCTCATTGTAATATCGAGCCATTATACGAAGTTCGGTTGTCGAGCTCGAACCCTAAAGACCGATCAATATCGAGATCAAGTCAAGATCGATCTCGAGACTCAGAGACCGATCAATACCGAGATCGGCCAAGATCGAGATCGAATCAAGGTTGAGCTCGAGATCCAGAGACCGGTCAAGGTTGAGATCGGCCAAGATTGAGATCGAGCCAAGAAACAAAAAAGCCGTTATAGCCGCATTTGGGGAGAGAATCTCGACGGAAATCACGACTTGAATCAAGGAAAAGCTAATTAATTAATCTATCATGGGATCTCCACTATGTATTTTTAATTATATCCAAAATGGGATTCCCCCACTATATTAAGAGTGGTTATCATTTGTAATAGGTGGAGTTGAGACACATATTCATTCATTTATTCATTTAGACATTATTCTTTCTGAGATACATAGCAAAGAGATCAAATATTATTCTTTTTGACTTTTGATATATAGTCATATTATTTTTTTTATCAATCGTTCTTCACTCAATTTGGAGGTGATAAAACTTGAAGGCTTAGGCCAACTAGTTCATTCGGTTTGTATTCATTTTTTTAATAACTAATTTCGATATTTATTTATATATCTTTCGCGATTTATATCAATTTATATCACGTATCCTTAAAACTACGTATAAATTCAACTCTATTTATTTTTCGGGTAAAGAGTTTAGCGCCCACCGTGGGGCTAAGGATAATAGTGGTTATTTGGTATGAATCCCTGCAAAACGCACTATTTTACACTTGATCTTGGAAATATCTTTGATTTCAGGTTAAAAATGACGAACCCTCAATTAATGGCCCTACCTATCGATAACGAAGCTGGCCATCAAGGTGAGAATAACAACCTGACGCCCGGGGATAAAAGGCTACTCGTTGACCCCGTTGGAACTCGGGTCGTAGATCCAATTGATATTAATTCACATGTGGCCATTGGGGCGAACCAACATTCTATGATGACCCAAAAAGTTATCTTTAAATTTAATAATTATTTCTGTATTCTAAGACCTCGAAAAGTACTATTCATCATTTCTCGACTTGCGTGCGCAGTCCCTATAATTTTTCGGAAAGTTTTTATTTAAAAAATTGATTAAAATGTGAAATAGAGCCTTAAAACTCAACTGAGTTGACTTTGGTCAATATTTTGAGCAAACGGACTCGGATCAGTAGGCCCGTATCATGATTTGAAACTTGAACGTATGCCCGAAATTTAATTTAGAGGTCCCTAACTTGAATTATCGCCAGTTGGCAAAAACTAGAAGCCTAAAGACTTAAAGATTTCAAAGATTGACCACAAATTGACTTTTATTGATATCGGAGTTGAATTCGAGTTCTGAAAATTTTCATAGGTCTGTTATGTCATTT